TGGGAACGGTGCTTATCCAACACGTGAAAGTCATTATATATGCTTCTAGGGAGCTGAAGTCGCACGAGGTTCATTATCCAAATCATGATTTAGATTTGGGAGCAGTGGTGTTTGCTCTCAAGATTTGGCGGTATTATTTGTATGGGGTCCATTGTATAATCTACATGGATCACAAGGGTTTGAGATATCTCATGGATCATCCGAATCTGAACATGAGGCAACATAGGTGGCTTGACGTGGTCAAGGATTATAACTGCGAGATTTTGTACCACCCGGGGAAGACGAATGTGGTTATTGATGCTTTGAGCTGCAAGATGGCTAGTTCTTCTGTTGGGAGCATTTGTATGACGATCTATATTGATTCACCATTGTTGGGTATGGGTACCAGATTTTGGTGGGAACATATCACCATAGATTTCATCAGACTTTGGAGGTTCTCATGTGGAAATAGGAACATATCACCATAGATTTCATCACCAAGTTGCCTCGGACAACTAAGGGGTTTGATGCGATTTGGATGATAGTGGACCGATTTACCAAGAGTGCCCATTTCTTAGACATCCGTGAGATCTCTTTGGCCGAGAAATTGGTCGATGTATATGTACGTGAGATTTTCGCTCGACATGGTGTTTTAGTTTCTATCTTTTCAGACCTGGATGTTCAGTTTACTTCATGGTTTTGGCAGAATTTCCGTGAGGAACTGGGTAAGAGGTTGCACTTTAGCACCGGTTATCATCTGCAGATGGATGGACAAAGCAAGCAGACCATTAAGACGCTTAAGGATATGTTGCGAGCCTGTGTGATTGATTTCGGTAGGAGTTGGGACTCATACTTTCCCTAGCCAAGTTTTCTTACAACAATAACTATCACTCCAGCATATTTGTGCACCGCCATTCGAGCTTCTCAATGGGAAGAAGTGTCGTACCTTAGTATGTTTAGAGAGAGGTGGGTCATAGAGTTATGGGAAGGACTGAGGTAGTTCTTCAAATGTCAAAGATCATTCAACAGATCAGACAGAAGCTGCAGACATCTCAAAGTCGGCAAAAGAGTTATGCCGATAAATGTCGATCCGAGTTAGAGTTCCAGGTCGGCAACATGGTTTTGCTGAAGTTATCACCATGGAAGGGTGTAATACGCTTCAGGAAGAGGGGAAAGTTGGGGCCCCGGTATATCGGGCCATTTCGGGTGATTTCTAGGGTTGGAAAGGTGACATACATACTGGATTTTCCTGAAGAGTTTATTTAGATCCACAACACCTTCCGTGTTTCGCAGCTTCGAAGGTGTGTGGATGATGATTAAGCGGTTGTATCTCTAGATGATGTTCAGATTGATGATCGTATGAATTATATTGAAAGACCATTGGCGATCTTGGATTGGAAGATGAAGGACTTGTGCAACAAGGTGGTGTCTTTGGTCAAGGTTTAGTGGTAACATTGGAAGGGTTACAAATAGACATGGGAACCCGAGTCAGAGATGCAGGAGCATTACTCTGAGTTGTTCATAGTAGCGGACTTCGAGGAAAAAGTCTAATGCAAGTGGTGGAGAATTCTAACATTTTGATCAGGTGAGCAATTGTCAAGTTTAAAATTTCAAAGGATTAAACCCTAATCACGACGTGAGGTGTGTATGTCATGTCGTGAGAGGATTAACGTGAACGTGCATCTCGTTTGGTCTCACGACGTGAGAATATAATGGCTCACGACGTGAGATCTGCCTATGAGGAAACCCTAATTTTGGGGATTTTACTTCCATATTTAAAGGAAGTGAGGGCTAAGGTTAGCCTACCCTCAGCCTCCATCACCTCCTTGAAATCCCCTTTGAACCCTTAGCATCCATCCATGATCTTGAAGCTCATTTGTGGTGATTTTATCTGAGGAGAACAAGAGGAAGAGCATCTATTCCATCATTTCTGCATTCAAGTCTCACCATCAAGCATTTACATACATTCTAGATCTTTTGTGAGTATCAAGTTCATTACTTTATGAGTCCATAAGCTTAGATCTAGGTTTTTATGCTTAATCTATCATATACAAGATGATGTAGTGGTTGGAATCCATAAAGTTTCCAACTTTATGGATCTCAAGTGTCCCTTGAGTAATATAGTTACTAGATCTGGAATACGATTGAGTTTTAAGACTCTTGCATGAGATTTGGGGTCATTTTCTTCTTTTGTGCCCTAATTAGTGTTTGGGACATGTATTAGGCATGCATGTCCAAAAAGCCATGATTTTTATGATGTTTTGGAGTAAATAAGACAATGTGGGGGATTTGGTTGCTTGGAAAAAAAGAGACTAAGAGTTTCATTAAGAACTTCTGATAAGAGCGTTCTCACGACGTGAGCACAAGGAGTGTCACGACATGAGGATGGGGTTCCTCGACTTTTTGGACTTATTATGTTACGACGTGGCCATTGGGGGTCACAACGTGACTAGTGGATTGTGGGACTTTCAAGTATGGATTGATTTTGACTCTGACCAGGGTTGACCAAGCTTAGCCTAAGGGTATTTTGAGTAGTATTTGAGATTGGTCATTATTTGATGAATATGTGACTAGTTAAGCTGACATTCAGAGTTGTGTCCTCTTCAGAGATCTTTTTATGAATGAGAGGTGAGTTTTCCTCACTTTACTTGTGGGTCGAAGGCACCAATACCGTCCGACTGGATTATGTATCCTGGTATAGAGGATGTTGATATGTTATAGTGATCTGTAGACCTGCATGCTTGAGTGTTGACTGGTTATGTGTTTATCTGTTATGTATATGTCGACATGTTATGGTTTTTAGGTTGAGGCTGTATCGCTTTGTGCGTGAGCCAATAGAACGGGGGTATTCTAGTCCGATGACTGAGTGGACCCGAGGGTATTCTTATCTGATGACTGAGTGGACCCATTGTATATTGGCATTCCAGTCCGATGACTGATTGGGCCAGGGGTATTCCAGTCCGATGACTGAATGGACCCAACATGCAATGTTATTTATGCTATGTTGTGTGGTGGTACTTTGGGGAAACTCACTAAGCCTTTGGATTACAGTTTAAGTTTATTGTTTTAGGTACTTCAGATGATCGCAGGAAAGCGAAGACATGATCATACACATCTTTCGGTTTTTATGATATTGGATCTTCGGAAAACTCTGATTTTGATTATACTTTTGAAACAATGGTTTTATAAACACTTTATGGTTAAAATGGGTTGTTTTTAAAAATTTTAAACTTCTATTATTTTTGGGATGTTACATGGTAACATAAGATGCTAAAAGTGAAAATCATGTGTAGTGACGTTGAAGTGAGTGTTTGAGATGCCATTTCTGACTAATGAGCATCAAAGTTAGGGACCATGGTGTTGATGTGGGCATCTAAGATGTCAGTTCGAACATAACTGTCCCAATTCTTGGTTGTTTACTTTGTAACTGTACTAGAATCAATAGGTGGGGATTAATGAGTTCCCAGGAAATATGAGAACAGGGGAATACAACACAAGTGATTGAGGTGAGTACTACCGAATACATGTCCTATATATAATAATATGTTTTTAAGACATACATTGATTTATATATGTTTACACCTTATGTGCTATGCATTATATTATGTATGCATATTATGTTCATTCATAAAAACTGGGTTTTCATTAAAGAG